CCCCAAAACCCCAAAACCCCAAAACCCCATAGGAGTAAGTATATAATTTGCTGCAGATATTATTAACTTGTTAATAAGAATTAAATTTAAAAAGTTTAAATGGCTTTTGTTGATCTTAATACTCTCAATGTCTTGACGGTGCTCTTCATCGACATGGGAGGAGCTATTATCATATTTCTGGGGTTCCTTTATGTCAGAAGTCTCAGAGGTGATAGGAAGATAGTAAGATCAAGTTTCACGAATAAGATGGTGACTGAAGTTGTATTTGAAGAAAGTTAGCTTGAAAATAGTAAAGCAGATGAGGAGGGTGTCACTAATCGATTACTCAATGAAAAAGACAAGTAGAATTACTTGCTAATCGACACTAAACCTCGCAATGAAGAACTTAGGAAAAGCAAGAACTGGTGGCTCAGTTCCGACTCTGACTAGAGTTAGGATCATGGCAGATCAGGGAAAACTGGGGGTAAGAACGCAATCTCTACCTATACTCTAGGCTAGTCTTAAAAAGAAACTAGCAATAAGGGCTTAAGAGAAAGTGAACTGCCATTGCTGAGGCACCAATAGAGATTAGTGAGTATTGATATTGAAAAGCCTAAAATCACTCCTTATAACAAAGAATCAGAGGCTGAGGAAGAGAAGTAAGAAATAGAGTTTGAAAGAGAGAGTGAGGCACCCAAGAAAATTGAAACCAATTAATCTGAAAAGGAACAGGCTTAGGGAGCATTTAGTAAGATTATTAAGAGAAATATAACTATTTTCTATAGGAAAATTCTCGATTCTATAAAAGTTCAGGAAATTTAAACATAAACAGAATCATCCATCTCAAGGAGGGATTAATAAAGAAACTGTAACTACAGATGGAGACGATTAGCCCTCAGGTATGCTAGATTGGCTGCATATTTTAAGAGGGATGAAGGATCAAGATTTGAAGTTGATTTGTGGAACAGACGCAGCTCTATTTATCGTATTTCAACGCCTAGCTGCTAAGTTCTTTGCTCTGCTTACGATTATCAACTTTGCTGTTTTTATTCCTCTCTATGTGACTGGTTTTCCATAAGATCCTGCTGATGTATAAGACCCAAATGGTGATACTTGCTTGGTAGCATTAACAACGATAATGAATATCACTGGAAATGATACTAAGGTTACTATAGTTTATTTTCTGATAAATTCAATATATCTTGGAGCTGCTCTTGGCTTTATGTATTTCTACTGGAAAAGATCCGTTGAATGGAGATATAAGAAGCATTCTCATAAATAGTAGTTTGTTGACCATGATATTGCTCTTCATTCAATTATGGTTACTGGTATCAATAATAATATAGACATGTAAAGTGCTAGAGAGCATATTGACTTGGTCTTCCATAAATTATTCCCAGACGGAAGAGTAATCTCAACTAGAATAATAGGCAAATCGGATAGACTTTATACAATGGCTTTAAGATTAAAAGAACATAAAAAGTACTATAGATTCTATCGAAGAGCAAATCGTCAAGCAAGGAATGAGGGTGATGACACTCGCAAAATGTTTTATAAGAACAAGGGATGCTGCAAAGGCTTGACTAAATTTGATGCTGAAGAGTACTTTAAGAAGAAGATTAGAAAGAGATGTCTATAGATAAAGTCTACAGAAGATTAGCTTTAAAAGATAAATGGAGGTATTGGCTTTGTCAATTTTATATCAAACTTATAAGTCAAACAATGTCTGCATAAAAATTTCAAGAATCTGTTGCAGTCAAACCTTACTGAAGAGGAAATTACTAAAACTTAAGCAAACACTTGGACTATTAGATAAGCCCCTTCATAATCTGATATTATCTGGGAAAACATTTACAACAATGACATCTTAACTATAATTAAGTCATATTTCTTGATAGTAGTCCTCTTTGTTACCTGTGTCTTGATTGTTACACCTGTTTCTATTCTTGATAATCTGCAGCCTATTCTCAACTTTATCTTTGCTGAGATTGGTGAAACCAACATCATATCTGTGATGATCTAAACTTACATTTCACCAATTATTCTTTTGATATTCAATTCTGGTATTGTTCCAGTACTTATTGATATTGTGGCTGCTCTTGAGGGGCATAAACTCAAAAGTTTAAAGTAACTTGGCATAATGAGGAAGAATTTCTTCTTTATGCTAATGAATGTAGTGTTTTTGCAACTAACAGCCTAAGCTACGGTTCTTTCATTCTTAGACTATTCCTTAGGAAACTAATTCTTTGACTTACCTAAAGCTCTTGGCAAGAATCTAGTAAACAATAACTACTTCTTTTTACGTTTTACTATTCAGCTGACATTCATCAGCAATGGAATACAACTGCTGGATATTCCACATCACTCTATCAAAATTCTAAAATATGCAATCTACAAAATTAAACAAAAAAAGGAAATCATCAAGCAACCATTTGTTGATAACTTCGCTTATGATCTTGGTTACTATCAATCTCAAACTATTGTTGTCTTTGCACTAGGACTGATATTTTCTGGGACAATGCCCTTGATTAGTTTATTTGCAACAATGTTCTTTGGCATTAGATATTACATAGAGAAGTATAATTTAACTTTCGCATACAATAAGGAGTTTGAAGGTGGTGGTGTTATTAAGAAGTAGGTGATACCATTTATGATGCTATCTATCTATCTCTTTGAGTTTTTAAATCTTGGCTATTTTACCTTTAAATTTGGAGATGTATTCTTTAAATGGGGACTCGCTTTTATAGCTGGCTAGACACTGCTTATGATCTTCCTTAACACTCTTTATAGTACAAAAAAGAGGCGTCAAAGAGCAGACCTTGCAAGTTAAGTTGAGTAGCTAAACAGTGCGTTAACTATTGAAGAGTATCATAAACAAAACCAAAAGATGCTGAGGCAAGAGGAAGATGAAATGATGAAGATGGAAAAAGATAATAAAGAAAAGAATAAGATTCAACAGTTCATAGATACTAATGTTTTACTGAGTACTGAGCGTCGACTGACTCTTGCTAACTAATAGATACTCTCTGAACAAAACACTGAGATACTAAAGTAGGCTTACAGACATCCATTTGAAAAGATTCCACAATCCTATTTCGATCCTAATTTAGGTTATTGACTATTTAATTTTCTCTTTCTCATTTTAAGAATAAATGATACTTTTGGGGTTTTGGGGTTTTGGGGTTTTGGGG